TTTCTCATTAATTATTTACAACGTTTAAGTAAAAAACACAAAGATAATGATATGAGATATGGTGTACGCAGAAAACATGGTGAATTGCATATGGGTGATTCACCTATTTCATTTGCAAATGATACAATAAGTGTCAAAGGTAAAAATTATCCAATAACTCCTGGGTTGCTGGAATTATTATTTAGAAAATCACCAGATGATGGCCTCATCACCCCAGATGATAAGGACAAGTACTTGGATGTAATTCAACATACTAACACTCATAGGAAAAGTTATGATCCAAATCGTACCATTTATGAAGATATAACAATAAAGTACAATAAATACGTTGCTGATTTTCTCACCAAGTTCGGTAAAGGGTTACCGAAATATATGATTGCAAGAAAACAGAGATTACCAATGGACTATGTTTACTGGGATGATCCAAATGAACTAGTTGATCGTTTGCGACTACTGATGGCATCTCAAGCTGCTGAAAATCCAAGTCACACGAATGAAATCATGTCAATTATTGAAGAGCTTAGGGAGGCCGGGGTTATATATTAAAAGCTTCTAGAAAATTATATCATTCACACGCTGACAGTCAAAGTGTTCACAACTATGAGCATCGATATATTTGGGCGTCCACTGGACAATGATAAGTCGGTTCAATGAGGACCAGCTGGTAGAGGATTCAATGTAACTTCGAATGGAAACTATAACATTGAAAATAAAAGACTGTGCAATCTCGGTAATCCTTCAAATGAACATGATGCAGCGACAGTGCAATTTGTACTGAGACAGATATCTGAATTGAGTAAAAGCATAGACAGTGAACAAAAAGAGATTATTTCACATTTACACTCTGAAGTAGTAACACTGACAGCTAATGTGATAAATTTGCAGACAGCTATTGAGGAAGTTAAAGCAGTACTCTCCACTCACGGGAATACTATCAAATATCTCACTGAGAAACTCAATGAACGACAAAAAGGCAGTGATAGCCGAAGAGCTTCACAAACCAGCTCGTAGAAACTATAAACGTCGTCATGTTGATATCCGTGGTCTTGATGAGACTTGGCAAGCTGACCTGGTTGAGATGATTCCCTATGCAACAGTCAATAAAGGATACAAGTATCTGCTTACAATCATAGATATATTTTCAAAGTATGCCTGGGCAGTTTCAATTAAGTCTAAAAGTGGTGTAGATGTCACAAGTGCTATGAAGTCTGTACTCCAGCAAGGTCGTATCCCTAAGAATCTTTATGTTGATCAGGGTAAAGAGTTTTACAACAATGAATTCAAAGATCTGATGAAGCAGCACAAGATAAATCTGTATTCAACATTCAGCAATCTCAAAGCATCTATATGTGAACGTTTCAATAGAACACTTAAGACTAAAATGTGGCGAGAGTTTACAGCTCGTGGCAGCTACAAGTGGACTGATATACTTGATGACTTGGTGAATACTTACAACAACACCAAAGACAGTACCATCAAAATGAAACCTGCCGATGTTACCGCTACTCAGAAGAAACAACTATTGGAAAATATATATCAACCACTGAAAACCAAATCGAAGCAGAAGCAGAAGTTCAAAGTTGGAGACAAAGTCCGAATCAGCAAGTACAAGCATGTTTTTGACAAAGGATACACACCAAACTGGACAACAGAAATCTTCACAATCAAGTCAGTGCAGAATACGAATCCAACGACGTACAAGCTTGTGGACTATCAGGAGCAACCAATCGAAGGTGGATTTTACAATGAAGAACTCAGCAAAGTCAAATATCCAGATGTATATCTTGATGAAAAAGTAATTAGAAAACGTGGGAATAAATACTATGTTAAATGGCTAGGTTTTGATACCAACCATAATAGTTGGATCAATAAATCTGATATGTAAAACACGAATTATATTTACATTGTTTTTATTTACAAAACCTTAATACATAAATCCTTAAAACTATATTTACATTTAGTTTTTTTAATACTATTACAAATTTTTTTGTCTTTTATTATTATTATTTTCATCGTTATCTTCTACAAGTTTCCGTTTCTTAAAATCTAAGGAGCCTTTATAACCCCAAGGCACAGTATCAGTGCTTGCTTCAATGAGTTGACGTTTGTCGTCAGCCCAACTGAGAGCAAGTTTCTCTTGCTTTATTGTATGTACTTGATGTTTTTAACTTTGATTCATGTACTGCTCTTTTCTGAACAATACATTTTCAAAAAGACACTTCTTGAAGTCATCAAACGTGATGTCTTCAAGGCTGATCCTCCGATACCCTTTGCCCGTTTCTTTATCCTGTCTATTTCCTTCTCAGGATCATGAATTTCGAAGGCATACAATTTGGCTCTGAGACCAACGAACTCGGACATGATTTTTCCATTGTTCTCGTCCTTCATGAGTCCCAGAAACTTTTTATTGACAAGAGGCATGTTGAAGACATTTTCAGGTGGGTAATCGGAGGTATCAAACCTTGAAATATCACGTTTGATGTCTTCTTAGATGTTGGGTACATTAAATTGGTAAATTAGACTGTCTGTGTCGGTGTACAATAATTTTGAGGTATTTACATAATTTTGCATAACATAATTGTAGTGAAAGTCATAAATATAAATTTTAGATAAATCTAATATGCTAAAACCTACATATATTGGCTTGTTGAAGCAAGCTCTAGCTTTTTTACGTTCAACTATAACCATATCTTCATAAAAATTGTAAGGTTGTGGAAGTTTGGCCTGCATACTAAATCAGATACATTGTATCGACCTTGCCACTTAGTTCTTAAATATATATCTTTGTACTTCTTTACATTCTCCATCGTCTTTCCAAAAACCGCATTATTCATTAATTTATAAAAGTTTTTTTCGATCTCATTTTTTGCAAGCTTTCGACATTCAGTATTTTTATCGATATATGATTTGAGCCAGTCTGATTGCTCACATTTCAAGACACGGTGTATTTTCTTAAGAACTAAACCTAAATCTAAACATTGTTTCAAATTTTTATAATGAATTACATAGTTAGTTTTATCATACAGAGTTGTCGTCAGTTTTTGTTGTTTGCTACCATCTGGTATAAAATGTTCTGGGCATAAAGTTAGATGTTTGTGTTGATCATGTATATTCTCAGGATAGTGTACATCTACTTCAAGGATGTAGCCTACACTCTCATCATCATTGAAAAACTGATCTACATCATCTACATTTTCAACCCATTCAAATTTACCCTTGGGTAAAGACATACTCATCGCTGCGCCATACAAATTATTTACATCATAAGACATCAGGTATGTTTCAGGGTTGTTTGAATCAAAATCTTTACCCATGTACCGGTTGTTAGCTTCAGCGTGTCTATTAGCACACATCGATACCTCACCGCGAACACCCTTTTCAATGAAAAGAAGCATCTCAGGATCAGTTAACAGTTCAAGTTCTACTTCAGTATGCTTTAACATTGCAGAGTTCGAAAGGCCTGGTGCTGTATAAAAGTATAGAGCATCTAGATTGTATGTCTTAAAACAACTGAGTCTAAAATTTTCAAAGACATCAGCCAAGAGAAGGACATCTATTTTTAGGTATAGTTCTGAGTACTCTCCAAGCGTGGTGATTTCAAACTCGTTCCAGACTACTTCATAGTATTCAAGGGCAAAAGCATAATCGTCATCGGAAACATTAGAATTTGTTAATTTTCAATAAAATGATTCCTGGTCAGGTAACTGTCTCTCGTCTAGTCTGTCAATACTGTCAATGTACTCATACGGGAATACACACTTACGTATTGCTAATTTAAATTTGTTAGGGTCAGGGTAGTGTAGTCGCGTAATCGGTTTGTCTTTGTCATCAAGGTATGAAGCTAATTTCTCTATACTGGAGGCCATGAATCTAAAAGAGTCAATAAATCTTAGAGAGACTGAAGTATTTTTGACTGATTTTGTAAAAAAAATGTAACGCTCTTTATTGGTTGGTAATAATGAAATATCACCTTCAAATACGGTAGCTAAGGATTTAATTATGAAGTGTGAATCATAGCCGGATAAATTAGGAAAGACAACTTGGATAATGGTGGATTTTTGATAGTTAACATTACATGATTTATGAGCAGCGTCTCTGTAGTTACCCGTGAAATGACAATGATCATAGACCTTATCTGAAGCAGAAGTGATTGGTTTTTCACAAATGTGACACACAGTGGCCTGGTTGTGTCTATCTTGTTGCTCGTTAGTTAAGGGTTTCATTTTAATAGGATTCTTTAAAATTTTTTCAAAGTCCATAGCTAGTGATTCTAATTGTTTAACAAACTAGTTGATGCAATCAGGGGAACGGTTTAATTCAAATTTGGAGAGTGTGTTATTGTAGCTACAATGTACGTAGTAAGCAATACTGTGTGGAACATGTTTATGAACTATCTTTTCATCATCTCCCGAGGGTTGGAGTGTGCATTCTAGATCTGCGTAAACTACAAACGGTACAGTATCTTTAGACTTAAAATCTTTAAATTTCAAAATTTTATTTTTTCCACTAGGAAATTCCATGCGGACTTTGTTAGATTTGAAACAATCTACTCGGTGTTCTAAATAACATTTTTTAAGTTTAAAGTGATTCAAACAACGATCACAAAAGTACAATTTAGAATGACCTAGAGATATTTGACTTTTAATTAACCCAGAAAGATTATGTATCCATGCAAAGTGATAGACTGACTCAATATTATCTAAATTATCCGTATAATTTACACTTTTTTAATCATTAATAAATGAACTGTCGGTATTTCTGACTCGAAGTTACTTAACTATAATGGGATGATAGTACTCTTGTCAAACTTTTTACCGGTGGATTCTGAATCTATACCATACACATTAATGCTAAGGTCATTCATTTTTTCAAATTTTGGTACATCATTAAGTTTAATTGGAAATTGAATACCTTCATAGTTCAATCTGACGCTGAAGTGACGATGAATTGTAGGGTTAGTCGGAACCAATACTGGTGGATGCAAGGCGGCATTGACACACCACAGGAAGCAGAACTCATCATTGTTCTGGGTGTTCGTAACCGCATTCTTCTTGATAATATCCTTTGGCAATCTGACGAAGGTGGAGTTTCCCACTTGAGTTGGTGCGAATCTTGACATAGTCACCATCAAGCTGTTCGGTCCAAGCAGACTCCATCCGCAATCCTCATGTTCAAAATCTTCAATTCGCTGCTTCAACTTCTCATACACATGCTCAGTATACCAATCCTGAAGAGCTGTGGCGGGGAGAATCTCACGGCTTTTAGTAATGAAAGATTTTCGTTCTTCTATATCTTGTTGATGTTTCCGGAATGTGCAGAAGAATTCTACATTCACTTTCAACCCTGCCAGATCTCTCAAGACACTCTGCACCTTGTTGATGACGATGTCCCGTGAGGCCTGGAGAAATGATACTGGATCTTTGTAATGCTGGTTGATAACACATCCAGTCTGGATGTTACCAGCGGAAGCATTCTCTAAGTCCTTCCATTTGACTCCTTGGTTGAGATCTCCACCAACAACATGGTTACCAAGTCTGGAGAACTGATCGACAAACCAGTTGAGTTGGTTGATGTGTGCTTGAACACTTCGTCTCATTTGAATTGTTGTTCCAGGATCCAGTAATATTGTGTTGAAGTATTCAATGGTCTCCTCACACACTCGTGAACACCTTTGACGATGTTCATCAGTAAGCTGCTCTCCCAACAGATCAGCATATGAGACGGCAATAGTGTCCACCAAGTTTTTGAGAGCCTCGATGAGGTTATGTTGTGCCCTTTTGGGACGACAAACATTTCACTACTGTCTATTTACACAATATTATAGGTTATGTACACTTTTGAAGGATATGTACACTGTTTATAGGTTATATACACTGTTTATAGGTTATGTACACTTTTAAACGTTATGTCACTGTTTATAGTATTACGAGGTGAGTACTCGTGCACCCTCGTCGCCATTCGTGTCCGCTCGGGATTAGGCATTTCAGTGCGCACGGATATAAAAGAAGTGTACACGAGACATAAGTTAGCATTTTTCTTCTAATAGTCTGTTGGAGTAATATCAGAATTAGATTTGAAAAAACCAGAGGTGCCCCTCAGTTATAATCTGAGTTAACCAATAACGAAATATAACTCGTAGCAGCTATATGAAACGTGATACTATTAGTTATAGCTTATTTCATTACTGATATTAATGTAATAGGACAGAGCAACAACAGAGTTTGCTATTTTCTTCAAGTTATTGGTATATTATGTGAGTCGGTTTAAGTGGCAGTGAATTACGTTATTGATTTACTTAATTAATAAATAATAGCTATTTCATTGGTTGAGTTGTGATTTCAACTACCTGCTCTACAATAAATTTAAATACTCCACACCATCAAGCTGGGACCGGCCAACTTTTCATCCAGTATCAGCCAGGATTTCGTATTAACGCAAATAAACAATTATAGGCTAAGTACTAGCGTTTATTTTTAGCTATATAAATTGTAAGGCCAGTTTGGAGTAATTCGTGAGTCTCATATCAGTAAAATCACCCACGAGTTCATGGCTAATGAACTAAGTAACAATCCATCACGTTACAATAGGTTATGTACACTTTTAAAGGTTATGTCACTGTTTATAGGTTATGTACACTTCAAAGGTTATGTCACTGTTTATAGGTTATGTACACTTTTAAAGGTTATGTCACTGTTTATAGTTATGTAGACTGTTTTAGGTTATACATACACTGAATTTACACGATAGCTTTTGGCACACTGGACTACAGTTTTTGCACACTGGACTACAGTTTATGCACACAATAGTTTTTGTACACTGGACTACAGTTTATGCTCACAATAGTTTTTGCACACTGGACTATACTCGCGTACTCCACAACACTGAACTTCACTATATTTTATAACACTGAATACTATTTAATCACGAGAGATGTTTCACTGGAGACGTGTACTTCGTTTTTGTGAAGTAGGCTCTCGGTGAGCTGCTTATATAGGCAGAAAATACTGCGCAGTTACCCCCACTCCTCTACCTAAAAATCGGATTGATGACGTCATCTTCTGCGCAGTAAGAAAATTCTAGAACAGAATGAGTCATCTACTGCGCAGTTACCCCCACTCCTCTACCTAAAAACCGGTTTAATGACGTCATCTCCTGCGCAGTAAGAAATAGAACAAAGAAAACTGCGCAATTACACGACCTTGAACAGGTTCAAACCTGTTTGGTGACGTCATCTACTACGCAGTTAGGAATAGAACAAAGAGAACTACGCAGTTACCGTTACCTTGAACAGGTTAAAACCTGTCGGATGACGTCATCTACTACGCAGTTACAAGTAATGAAAGCTACCACCAGATGGCGTTGCGTAAAATCCTTCTCGCAAGTAGTTGTCATAACTTCATTTTGAATATATAAAACATAGATACATCATACTACAAATGCGTAATCCTAAACTATTGATCTGTAATGACAAGCCGAAAGCAGGTTAATAGTTGAGGATGCTTTTTCTAACCTCAAATTGTTTTTAATTTAAATTCAAAATAGCGGGAAAATGACGGAAATCAGATTCAAAATGGCAGATTTCAGACTAAAAATGGCGGAAATCAGATTAAAAATAGCGGATTTATGTCAGATAGCAGATAGCAGCCACCAGATGGCATATTTCAGAAAACAGATTCAAAATGGCTGATAGCAGATGGTGGATTCAAAATGGCGGATTCATAATTCAAAATTCCAGGAAAATGGTGAATGGTAGAATTTAAAAATGGCAGGAAAATGGTCGATAGTAAGATTTAAAAATGGCGGCACAATCCACCACCAGCGCCACCTATGAAAACAACCGATAAATAGACCCAGACCGACTGTCGGTAAAACAGATAAAGTTATGCCAACCGTCGCATAAAAGCCACCAGATGATGGATAATAAGATTTAAAAATGTCGGCAGAAGTCACCACCTATGAAAACAACCGATAAAACCTATACCGTCTGTCGGTAAAACAGATAGCCGATACCGGCGATCGGATAACAATCAACAGATTGGTGGATTCAAAATATCGGATTCACAACTCCAGGAAATGGTGGATAGGAAGATTTGAAAAAATGGCGGCAGAATTCACCGCCAGCGCCACCTACAACCTCCACTATATTCACGTCGGTAAAACAGGCAGATAAAATAGGACTCCATGCTTGTAAATGTTAATACCCAGTGTCAGTAAAACAGATTTGGCATGGCTGTGTAGCGCCCCTTCAAAAAGACAGATTTCAGTTTCAGATTGCAGCCACCAGATGACTGATAGCAGCCTCCGGATATCGGATTCAAAATTCAAAATGGCGGAATTCAGATTCAAAATGGTGGATTTCAGACTCAAAATGGCAACTAGCAGCCACGAGATGACGGATTCAAATGGCGGATAGATTTAAAAAATGTCGGTTAGTAAGATTCAAAAATGGTGGCAGAATTCACCACCAGCGCCACCTACGAAAAACCCTCCACCATATCCACGTCGGTAAAAACAGGTTGGTAAAACAGGGCGCCCATATCTACGGTCAGTAACTTAGCATGGACAAGAACCCACAAATCTGTTTTACCGACTGAGTAGCACTCCCCCAGCCCCGCTAACGTCGAGTAAGTCGGAAGTAGACGCGTCTCGCGCGGGATTTATAACAGATACGTTACATGCAAAAATAATAAATAATAATAAAACAAATACCGGAAATTATCAGACAAATAGTGTAAGTGCCAGTATGGGGAATCTAATGGACTGGTGCTAGAATTATTACGCAGAAGATATATTGACTAATTCAGCAAAAATAAATAACTCAACAACTACACAACGAATAATATCCAGGCGAGATGGTACCAGTCAAACCGACGAAGAAGTACCAGAACCAGAAAGTAATATTAAATCAGAACCAGGAAGTAATAACGACCAGGGAGTTGAGATGCTGAGGCGGTCTAAGAGGAAGGCAAAAGTATCAGCTGTAAGTAAATATTTTACATGATCAGTTAAAATTAATAATAAAATATACACAGCACTATTTGATTCGGGAGCTAATCGAAATTTTATAACTCATGGGATAGCAAACGAGATACCAGAATATCTCAAGAAAATTAAAATTAATCAATCTACCAGTTCTGTCATTTTAGCAGACAATTCAGCGATTAAAAGTCTAGGTACAATATATATTACATTAGAAATTGACGGAGTTGACATTGGTGCATGATTTGAAGTCTTTAATCAAATGCCACATCAAATAATCTTCGGAATGAGATTCATGGTAGACCAACATATCCATCTTCATGCAAATAATTTATCATGAACATGGAAACATGATAAGAAAACCAAAACAACGGACAGTGTAAATCAGATAATAAAATTTGTACCATTTCATTGACTGATGCCGATCAGGCAAAATTAACAAGTTTTTTAGATGCTGAATTCAACCTAATGGATCAAGCTGAATTAGGGACTTTGAAAGAAATAGAATATGAAATTGAGCTGAACGACTATACACCAATTCATGTCAAGCCATACCGAAGATCGCCGAAAGTGACAGCAGCTTTACATAAAATTGAGCAATTACTAGACCAGGAGATAATACAACCATCCAACAGCAAATATAGCTTTCAACCTGTTATGGTCAAGAAAAAATTGTTACCAGGACAAGACCGGGATGACATGTGAGCTTGGAGAATGTGCATAGACTATAGACCATTAAATAAAGTAATAAAAATAGTAAACTACCCAATGCAGAAAATAGACATATCGTTGGAAGTTATCAGAGAAGGTGCTTATAGAAGTGTTATAGACTGCACAAATGCATACTATCAAATACCTATCAAAGCTGAACATTGACAGTATACAGCCTTTGCTGTAGAAGAAACGGGATCATTCGAATTCATTAGAATGCCATTTGGATTATCAACAGCACCAGTGACTTTCCAGCGAAAAATGGATTTACTTATTCAACTATTAAAGAAACAGTTACGCCAGTTAGAACTATCAGCACATTGGATCAATTATGTCCACCCATACATGGATGATTGGATCGTAGCGACACCAACGTTTGAAATTCACTTACAAGTTTTGAAAATATTATTTCAGATTTTCAGGGAAGTGGGTTTATTAATAAAACGGGAATAATGTAAATTTTGTGTTTCAGCTATGAAGTACCTAGGATTCATTATCAAGGAAAATGAATTACATCCGGATTCAGAAAAACTGAGCGCAATTAAAGATTATCCAGAGCCAACTACTAAAAAGCAGTTAAGAAGATTTTTAGGAATGGTGAATTGGTACAGATGACACATCAAGATGATTGCCAAAATTCAAGGACCTTTAACATCCATGACCAGTGAAAAAGCAGAATGGAAATGGGATCCAGAGCAGATAACAGCATTAATAACATCAAAGAACTATTATTAAATGCTTCAGCATTAACAGTACCAGATTATAATCTACCATTTATTAGGTAGATTTCGTAGAAATCTATCTATTGCATTGGTCTTTGTGTCGGAATTCACACGGAATTTTGTCATTTTATCTCTTATATAGTCGAGTAAAGCTCAAAATTAGCATTGGTTCAAAAGTTTATATATTTATGTGTGTATATATATATATATATATATATATATATATACAGAGACGAAAAGGGCAGCCCCCGGGCAGCCCGGGCTGACGAAAAGTCCTCAGCCATTTTGTAATCAGACGCATAGATAATTAATTATTAATTAATAAAAGTAACCAATCAGAAGCGCGCTAGAGAAGAATAAAAATTGAGTGAGAAGGCAGTGGGTAATGCGAGAGTGAGATGCTAGAGATGCTGCCGGCTTCGCACGCAGTAGACCGAGAGTGGGGACGGACCGACCGGAGACGGCGGACGTACGTGATGCTAGATTAATGTGTGAGACTGGACACTAGTGTACGCAAGCGTTAGTGTGTCAGTAACAATGCGCGTATGAATGTAAGTAAGGATGTTTTTATTAATTTGTTAAAGGGACAAAATTTTGTTAAATAAAACGGCGAAAATAGTAGATGTTGTTGGGAATTATTAGAGAGATTTTTATTTAAAAAAATCAATAGCAAGGCTCAAGCAGAGAAACTAGGCCGCAGTTCCAGAAATTTTTTTCTTTTTTTTTAATTATTGAAGTAATTATCCATTAAAAAATCAGTAGCGAGGGTCAGTAAGAGGATCTGAACGTCTGTAGCTGATTTTTAATTTTTAATTGGAATAATCAAAATAATTATTATTTAAAAAATCAGTTGTAAGGGATAGTAAGAGGCTTTAGGCGGCTGTAATTGAATTTTTATTTTTAATGAAAATAATGAAAATAATTATTAATTAAAAAATCAGTAGCGGGAGTCAGTTAGAGGCTCTGCACGTCTGTAGCTGATTTTTTATCTTTAATTAGAATAATAAAAATAATTATTGATTGAAAGATCGGTAGTAAGAGTTAGTAAGAAGCTCTGGGCACCTAAGACTGGATTTTATTTTTTATTAGAATAATGAGAATAATTTCAAATAAAAAAATCAGTGACAAGGGTTACTAAAAAGCTCTAGACGTCTGTAGTTGATTTTTTATTTTTAATTAAAGTAATGAAAATAATTATTAATTAAAAAATCAGTAGCGAGGGATAATAAAAGGATCTAGACGACATTAGTCTATGACTCTAAAGGGTTAACCGAGATGAATTTATGTTAATTTCACGATAAAATATAAAAATAATTAACTATATGAATTTAATTTAACACTAGAATAAATGAGTCACTAATTAATTTATTCTGCAAAGAAAAGGCACAAGATAATAGGATTAATTGTTAGCGAGGCTAGCAGGTATATTGTGTCGGTTACAGGTTCCAAACACAACTGATTGTTGCACACGGCGTCTCGTGCCTCGTGCTTCGTTCTTCCCGCTAGTTCATGGTGCGCAGCCGCAGCAGCCGTTAAAAATCGTGCCAATGGACATGTTTTTAGAAACAGTCATGAAAACGACCCTTGTTGAGTCTTGAATATAGTTTAAGTTTTTGAATATAGTCTGAACCGATCGATACCAAATACTAATCAGCTCTTAACCTCAAGAATCACGTTGATTGCCACCAGCCCGATCAAAATAGGTTGATTCGTTCGTGAGATATCGTTGTCGAAAAAAATTGGAAAAAAATTAGAAATACGGTTGACCCTAAAGGCCATCCCTGCAACTTCCCGCCAATTCTATACCTAAACGATTGAAATTGCACTTATGAAGTTTTAGAGCTCTTCGAGCTCATAAATACAATTTGTGTATTATTTTGAGCTCTCCGAGCTCAAAAAATAGCTTTTGAGCTCTTCGAGCTCTTCGAAGTTGCAGGGATAGCCTTCAGGGTTAACCGTTTTCCTAATTTTTTTTAATTGTCTTTTCAATTTGTTTTTATAGTGAATAGTGGATAATTATTGTTTCCTTATATGCGCTTAACAAAACATTTTAGAAAAATAGAAAGTCTGAGCGCTTAAGGCACTCACATTTAGATATATTAAGCTTTTTTCTCCTCTGTTTATCAAACTTGTAACAGGGTAAAATTACCCTGAGTCGATAAACTACCAGATATCGATAATATTACGACGCAGCACTGGCGCGTTTCGATCTTCGGGCCTAAAGAGAGAGTAGGAGGGGGTAGTTTGAGGTTATTATAGGTGAGCCATGCATTGCAACAGAGAGAAGTGGTGTAACCGCTAGACAGTGTGCCACGGAAGAAAAAGAGACACTGATCCCCAGGGTAGTTACCAGTCGATAGAAGCCAACAACATCTAGGACTTCGACCTCAAGTATTGAGTTAGTTCGACGTTTATTCATCAAGGTATTAATAATTACTCTGTGAGTTAGAAGTGGACCGTGGTTTACCTAATACCAGGTTTACTTCTCCTCCTCTTTTTATATTCTGATTAATTATTTATTCCGGGTTTAATTAATAATAATTCAAAAATTGTACAATTCATTAACTTTGATTTGCTAGTTGGTGCTGACTGGATCTCAAGGAGATCTTTACCCGAGAGTCACTCAGAGACCATGTTGTGTAAAGTTCGCGAGAATTTATTTGTTAAAAATTAATTTACTCGATTATTTATCAACATTTTAAACATCTGAAAACGGCTTTAGATTTAACATATTTTACTGAACAATCTAATAAAATAAAATCGAATAGTAAAATTTTCGAGAAATTTCCATTGTCTACTCACGAATTCTAGTCAAGCGTCGGTTAAATTTTACAACTTAGTTAATCCGTACCCAAGGTCAAAACTACAAGATACTAACGAATATTTGGCATCCATTTTGAGTACGCAAATTCTTGTTAATTATATTTACATTATATTAATTATTGCGAATTTATTTATTGATATTTTGGCGCATTTTAGACTGATTTACTCGTAGAAATTCTTTTAGTAATTAATTTTTGAGATTGAGATAAATTAATATATAATTATTTATTTGAACCGAAAATTTCTACGTGGTTGATTTACTAATTTGATCTTAAATTCTGGAATTTATTTTTGATAATTTAATTTCATCATTTTGATAAAATTCTTTGTAAATTATTTACCAGCGTAGATATTAAATCCAAGAATGTTTAGTTAAAATTATATGACGAAATTTAATAAGAATTTATTTATTTTAGTGTTGGAAATTAAAATTTCGATTTGATTGGAATAAATTTATGCGTCGAATTTTAGTTCAGACTTTTGGGAATTAAATTTTTAGTCTTGAAAATGTTTTGTAATTAAATTGCTTGCTGATGACTGAAAATTTTAAGTTGAAAATTTATTTTATAATATTTTTCTTGAATTAAATTTTGTTAATAATTTTTATAAATAAAAGTAAAGTAAATTCAGTATGTGTGTGTGGACGTGTGGGATATGAGTGTGAGAGTGTAATAACAGCGTTCCCTTGCATACGACAGTCTCTGTGCGAGGTGTTTCGTTGATTATTTAGTTAAGGTGTAAATTTGTTAGGTGTTAACGGGGATCCTTCGCATACGACAGTCTCTGTGCAAGGTGGTTCTCGTTCAGTATTGTTTTAAGTTCAGTCTGGATAGCAGTTAGTTAAGCTAGACGATCTCTGTCACACAGTACGTTCCTTCTGCAGAGTAATTTTATAAGTCTGGTTAGCCGTTAGTTAAGCTATAGCGTTAAATTAGTCTGGTCAGCCGTTAGTTAGGCTGTAGTTTTAAGTGATTATAATGTGAGTGTGTGAGTGATAAAATTTGTTATTCTTTATTGTTAATAAATATCGGTTATATAGTTAATTCAATATTTATTTATTTCACAGCAGCTTCCTCCACTCTCTCTACCCTAAAATAAGCCCTCAGCTCTGGACCAGTTCCAGGAACCGTGATAATAACCTGGTGGCGCCCTTTTTGTAACTGTTTTAGATTTCATTATGTTCATTTTATTGTTTTATTTAAATTAAATTAAGGGGCGGATTGAGCAGCTAATAAAACTGTATCAAACTAGTTAAAAATAGTTAACTCCCAAAACTGTAGAATCAGACAGATTAAAAACTTTTTCATATCTTCCGAAGAAAGTTGTTTTGTTTTTTCCCTCAAGCAACTTTATATCATACTAAGCGAAGATTTCTTGCTAAAATTCGTTTAAATTGAAAGGGTACAATCCCATATATCGAAATATTTAATTTATGGTTAGCACTGTTCAATTTTTGTTTTTTTTTTTTCAGCACTAGTAACTGTAGTTGTGGGAAAAGAAAGTCAAGATCTTCATTCAACAAAGAAGTATTATGATGATGTTGAAAACGTCCGACAGCTTGAACTTAAACTGAGTAATCCTACGAAAGGTTCGTTGATGGAAAAAAAATCATTTGATGACGACCTTTTAATCCATTCCAACCTTCGAAAAATTAGAGAATCAGAGGTACCAAAAACTATCTAATTAATTTTAACATTTTATATTTGTTCTAACTATTTATCGAGTCTACGAATTATTTCTACATATAATCAGTCCATTTCAATTGCTATTTCGTAAGTTCAAAAAAACGGTCTCAATACTAGAATTTTTTTTAGTTAATCTCTGTCACTGATATCTTGAACACTATTAAAGTGACAAATTTTTCTTGATAACGGAAAAAAAAGCTTCTAAATTTTAAGTCAGAACTATAGTCTGTCACGGTCTGATGATGCAGCAAAGGCTTCTCCATTGAAACCTTAGAAATAAAATTTTTATCGAGATGTAGCAACAGATAGAATCTTAAATAATTGACTCCAATTTTCGAATTATCATTTATTTTTTTATCAGTTTGAAAGCGAAACTGTCTAATTTTGCATTTATTTATTCGTTTCTGATACATAAACTCAACAGCTTACAATAATATCAGGATCACTCAATTATAATACCGAGTGACAAGTATATGTACAAGTTTATTCTAATAACAGTAGATTTATAAGTAAATATCGATCTGCACTTTAAAAAAATTCATTTTTAACTTCCCGCTAAGAAAATCGAAGATTTTCGAAAAATCGGGAAGTTATTGTTTTCACCCCGTTTTGCAAAAATCAAGGTTATAACAGATCTTGACGTTTTGAAGCCCTAAGAAGCTTCCCTGACTATTTTTACGATGATATCCGTACGTTTGTATGTGTGTGTATTTGTGTGTGTCACACAAAAGCGTCAGAATTGGTTGATGCGTTCGTGAGATATCGTTGTCGAAAAAAACCAAAAAAAGTGTTTTTTTTTTGTAATAACTCCGAAATTTTTCATTAGATCAATTTTTTTATTCAGAATTATTTATAGAGTTTAAAAAACTTCATCGATTGCCGCTAACCGCATGCAAACCGGTTAATTTATTCAAAAGTTATAGTAGTTTGAAAATTAAAAAAATCGTGTTTTATCGAACTTTGATAAGATTTTTTAGCTTGGAGAGCTCAAAAGCATAGGTAAGCTATCTCCCTGAGCTCGGAGAGCTTAAAATAACACATAAACTGTATTTTTGAGCTCGAAGTGCTCAAAAACATCATAAATGCAATTTTAAGCGCTTAGGTACAAAATGAGCGGGAAGTTGCACGGATGGCCTTCAGGGTCAACCGTTTTCCTAATTTTTTTTTATTTCAGTTTCATAAAATTAGCTTTTATATCGTATACAATTCTTCAGCATTTATTGTGATTCTTTTTTCACAAAAAAATCAAGAAAAACAATAACGTCCCGATTTTTGAAAATTTTCAATTTTCTTAGCGGGAAGTTAAAAATCTCAAAGTGCATAATAGATAACGCTCTTTTTGAGAAGTAATACAATAAATTGAAGTACAAGTCTGAATTAATTTCGACAACGATCCATTGCGAGAGATTTCTCTAAATTTACAGGTCTGAATCAGTCCAAACTATATAAAATAATTAAGTTTGGTCAAGACCTTCGAACAGCGTCAACCGCGAATGAATTGGTCAAGCCGTTCAAAAGTTATGAGGATTATACACACACACACACACACACACACACACACACACACACACACACACACACACACACACACACACACACACGCGCGCGCATACAGACATACGGTCATCATCGCGGAAATATCCGGGAAACTTCCTCGGACCTCAAAACGTCAAGATATGATGAGAACTCGATTTTCGAAAACGGGGTAAGGGGACATCCATTAATTACGTGAGCTTAGAATGGAGGAGGGAGGGGTCCAATGAAATCTCACCAAATCTCATCTAAACCAAGGGGGGGATAATCAAAAATCTCACCTCAACTTCAAAAAATATAAAATATTACAGACATTAAAAAAAATTATTTTGAGTGTTTAATTTGCCCGCTAAAATAAATTTTATGTCTATTAAAATCATTTACGCTGATGATTTAAACAAGCTCTTCTCAGAGCTAATGGTGGATTTCTTTAACATTATAATTATAATATAAATTATAATATGTATGTATAAGAAAAGTACATGAGTCTCCATGGATTGAGTAAAAATTTTAAAAAAGTTTTGTTATTATGTTTTTTAGTAGATTTTATAGAAATGTAACTATTGCATTGGTCCTAATGACAGAACTTTTAAAAATTTTGCTATATTTCGACTATACTCGTCGAGCTGAGTCAGAAAATGCATATGGTTCAAAAGTTTATATATGTATGTATATTTATATATATATCAGATATAACGCGGCTTGTCACGACGATAGCGTCGCTAATTTACAACGGATCTCTACTAAACTCAACATACTGATTCTACAGATAAATGCTAAAGTCAAGTTCGAAGATGAGCTTAATCGGTCAAGTAATTTAGAAATACCAGGATTTCAAAATTCTGAAAATCATAAAAATTCATATTTTTTCACTTTCTTACTCGCATAACTTTTCACTGAGATAACTTATTGAAATTCTGTAAAATGCATCTGAAAGCTCTTGAAATTAGCTTTAATTTGAGTACCATATCATATGTGTAGTCGTAAAATTTTTTAGAAATGCCAGGATTTAAAAATTTTCAAAATCATAAAAATTCACATTTCTTCACTTTCTTACTCGAATAACTTTTGAATGGGATAACTTATTGAAATTCTGTAAAATGCATCTGAAAGCTCTTTAAATAAGCTTCAATTTGAGTACTTTATCATATGTGTAGTCTCAAAATTATGTCCTATTCCGCTATGCCAATTATGAAATTTGCTATTGTACTGGTTTTAGTATTTTTCTGTCGATACATATTTTTGTCGATTGCATAGAATTTAGAAGCCCTAGTTTTGTACACGATCCTCATTATATTTTTTTCTATTTATGATGAAATCTACTTCCATTTCGGCTGCCGAATGGTCTTTTTTGTTTTGAATTTTATTTAATTTAAATAAATTAACTATAGTATACTTGAATGGTTTATTATTCTCCCGAATAATAAAAATAATTTTAATTTAAAATATTTTTAGCGTCAATCTCACGTAAGGGGAGGGGGGGTCCAGACAAATCTCACTAAATCTCACCTAAGGGGGGGAGGAGTCTAAACTGATCGAAAAATAGCTCACGTAATTAATGGATGTCCCCTAAAACCAATAGCCTCCCGATTTGTCTAAATTTTTAATTTTCTTAGCGGGAAGTTAAAAAAAAGTTTAATTGGGACAAGCGTCTTTCTTTATATTCTATTGCTTAAAAACTGCTTAAAACAAACGCTAAAAATGTATTTAACTTGTTTATTCTATACTAAAACGTTTCCTAAAATTCGTTTAAAAAACATCAATCATCTATTTTCTATATATATTCCCCTGTAGCATTCAGATTTTATTATTCAGTAATTATTTGATTTTGATTTCAGCAATCACTTGGATATCGTCCTCTCACAGGATCCTATGCACTATCACACTCTCAAAATTTTGCGACGAAAAATAGCAGACCAATACAAAGTGATGTCCATTATGATATTCGTAACAATAAAGAAAGCTATACTGATCAGGAATATCAACGTGAATTATCATACGTTCTACCAAACTATCCATTTAGGATATCAGACTTTTCTCAAGATAATGCTAAAGTTCAATCTTCAAGTTACGAGTCTCCGACCATGTTCCATAACATCAAGAATTCTGAATATGCTACACTAGCAGATAATCCGAGCTTAGAGAAATTTAAAAAAAAAGTAGATCCGGTACCTTTAAAGTATGAACAAGATACTAATGGAATTTTTGTTCGAAGCAAATTAGATCACTCAAGAGTTTTTGATCTTGGTGATTTAAGGAGTCAAAAATCATTAAATAAATTGTATTATCGCAACCCAGAGTTCCAACAATACCATGTTGAATTAACTAATCAGAAACAATCGAAAACTAATTACTTTGAAACCGTGCAAAATAATAAACCTGTGCAGCTAAATAATTTACACTCAGTATCGCATATATCTCCATCCAAGTATATAAGTTCCAATACAAAACCAAAAAATATTGAGAGCCATAATTATAGTCAGAGCTCTGCACAGGCACAAGCAGAAGCTCAAGCTTTAGAATTCCAAAAAATATCTCATTCTGCTCATCTCGAACATCAACGGGCAGCACTCCACCAGATTCGTTTAGGAATCGATAGACATAATCAACAAACCGCTCTTGAACAAATTAATCAAGGTCATTTAAGCGATGCTGGCAAGAAATTTGTTGAAAAAAACTTCCAAGTTTCAGACCCTGAGCTGATCCAACAAGCACAGTTTACAAAGCGCATATCAGAGCAAGTTGCGGAAACTCGCCAAAATCAAGAAGCTAGTGAGTATAAAGCTCATTCAGATGCGATAATTGCACTTCAGAAACAACAAGCTGCTCACCTGAAAGCTCAGGAAGACGCACATATTTTTGCTCTGAACTTCGAACAGAATCAAGTAAACGCACAAGCTAAAGCACAGGCTCTTGCCAATGCTCAAGCGGTGATATTGTATAAAGCTCATCGTGCTGCACATGCCAAAGCTCAAAATGAAGCCAAACTTGTTGCGCAGGCGCAAGCTAGTGCTAGATATCATGATCCTGAACATACTCCTGTAATTCAATATTTATTACCACAAATGCAATCTCTTCCTGATTTGAGAAGCCAGTTGTCCCAATGAACTATGATCTAGCAATGCAAATTAACATAATTGATCGAAGAAACCGAAAGTTCAAAATCCGAATTTGATTTTTACTCTAAACAATACCATATACAATGTAACATTTTAATATATCGATTCATAAATATAAATACGATAAGAAGTACTAGTATCATTGACGAAGATCAATCATATTTTAATTAAAATCAAAGCCTATTTTGAAACTTAACGAAAACTCCCAAGTCATAACTGAAGTTGTATTTCATCTATAAACAAGGAAAATTACTGTCAACAAAGTGGCATCTAAATTTTGAATAATTAAAACGGTTCAAGTCATTGAGCTCAATTTAAAATTATCTTCGGACTGGGCTGCACTGCGAATTGTAAAGTTTAGAAGTGAATAAAGATTGTAATTTTTATAGTTTCTATAATATTCGTACAATGTTTCTGTAGCCCTACACTTGACAGACAAATTTTTCGAGTATTGCACACGTTTCATGTTGAAATTCAGGCACATTAGAATTAGCAATGTCAGTTGGTGCGTTTTAATAATCCAAATTGTCTTTAATTAATTGAAGTTGCCTTTTCTTACCTTCTTAAAAAATAGAAGGTTGTCATAGTACCCCACAATAGCGTAAAATTCTGCTAAACTCGAATATAATGGAGGTCCTAGTTCACAGATATTGAAATACGCAACTGCGTTAAATTTTTTATTCATATTTTATATGCAACTGCATACTCCATGTGCGAAATTGAACTATAACTCACCTAGTGATCCATACTCCTAAGCATGATGATTATAAGATCGGTGTTATATGGTTTAATAAGGATATTGGTAGGATACTTATTTCTCGGGAAAAAATTTTCATGTAATTGCGCGCGCGCGCGCGCGCGTGTGTGTGTGTGTGTGTGTGTGTGTGTGTGTGTGTGTATGTGTGTGTGTGTGTGTGCGCGCCGTATGTAAACCTCTCATAACTTTTGAACGGCTTGACCGATTTTATCGCGGTTGTCACCAATCGAAAAAGCTTGACCAAACTTAGATGTTGACTATAATTTGGACCGATTCGAACCAGCAGATTTTGAGAAATCTCAAAAAAACTGCAAAAAAAAAATTAGGCAAACGGTTGACCCTGAAGGCCATCCCTGCAACTTCCCACTACTTTTGTAATAAAGCGCTCAAGATTGAACTCATTACGTTTTTGAGCTCGATGAGCTCAAAAATATAAGTTTCGTGTAGTTTTGCACGACTCATTATGTGAAGCATCAGAGAGTGCTTTACAGCTGTTTTTTCGGCAACTAATTTTGAACGACTTATGTTTTTTTTTTTTTTTTTTTATTTAATATTTTATAATTAAATGTGCATTATGAGTCGTGCACTTTTGGATTTTCAAAACTTTTTTTAATGCAGCTGTCGACACAGCTGGATTGATTTGCTTGCATCGAATCATTTTTTCCATGAAATTCAAGTCGTGGTTAGGAGCAAAAATAGCAGAAGGCACAGTTAACCAAGCTCTTACCTAATACTTCACGATGAAAATACAAGTTTGCCGAAGACTGTTAATTACGCGAACACTAAGTTTGAACGCTTCTCGGAAAATGAACATTTTCAAAGAATATATGGCTTTTGCCATCCATCGAGCATGGCTCATAGCTCCTGGAGCTTGAAAATTATATTGATCTTGTGGAATAGCTCCCAAAAAAGTCAATGAAGGTTCCAAATATTCTTTGCAATCCTTTCGAGGTTGATTTTTCTGAGAATTTTGAAGCGATAAGTACAAAATGTAGAGTTTTATGGTCATCAAAATAATTTTGAAAATGATTAGTGTAGTTATCGTACGTATTGGATTATAAAAAGGAAAAATTATAGAAAATCATCTTGAATTTTAACGATTAAGTTCTTATTTTATAAAAATATTCTTAAAGTCATAAATAATGCAATAAAACACCGTGCGAGTGGAAAACTTTCCATAATCGAGCGTCATTGTTGAGTAAAATATTCCTTTCTTTGAATATATATTAGCAGTTTAGATGGATTATGTTTGTGAAAAAATATTTTGCTAATACATGATTAGTTTCTATTTTGAAGATGCAAAAATATTAATTTGGAATTTTATTTAGTGAGATTATTTACCTATTAAGAAAAAATGTCTTTTCTATGACTAGTTTTTCCTACACAGTAAAAAATTTTGTGTAATTTTTGACACAAATTATATGTAAGAGAACGATTTGACACAAATTTTTATGTCATTTCCACACAAAGGTTTTGTGTTAAACAAACGACCCAGTTTAATGTTAGAAGTTACACAAATTTAAATCAAAATAATTGTAGTAACATATTTAAAATATTACTTTTGTGAGAAATAACATTTTGTTGTGTTAAAAATAGATGACCCAAGTGGGATATGTTAAATTGACACTAAGATGTGTCAAATTTTTGACACAACAATTTTGAACACAAGACTTTTTTGACACAATGACGAAAAATTTTTTACTGTGCATTATTTTGATGGGCATATTTATGAAATTAATAAATGTAAGAAAGCATACTTGTAAATAACTTTTAAAGAAAACAAGCAGGTCAACAGCATTGTCTTCTATCGTAATGGCAACAACAGCGTCTGTCATACCAGATTGCCATTTTGAATTATCAAGGGTTATTTTGTCCCAACTATTTTTGAATCTGGTGAAGATTTGAACATTTGGGCCCGATTGTGTTGGCCAGAACACTTTGAATACTCCTTTCAACACTATTTCCCAGATATAGTGGTGACACGGAAACCAAATTAATTTCCTTTCTAATAACTTTTCCAGTTCGATCTCTGTAACATGAAAGGCACCTAAGAAAATAAAATTATTCGTATTTACTTCCTGGTAAAACTTATAAAGATTAATTTAAAAGAACTAAAAACTAATTATTCATGAAAAAATGCTAGTAAAATATTGAAAAATTAATGAAAGGGTCTTAATTTTACATTTTTGATTTGTAAACTTAGGAAATAGTTCAAGAAAATCAGATTTAATTATGTATTTAAAAAAATAAATAACTGAATATTGATAGTGATGTATACTTGTGTTAGTTGGTTCAGTATCAAAGCACATGACATTGACATTAGCAGTAACACCCCAATCATTCAGAACTGAATGTATTGCTAATGCATTGTTTACCCCGGCTCCTGAACCCATCTTCGGAACTCCAAGCAATTGTTCTGTGCCAGACGAATTTAATATAATCGGAAGTCTGTCTGCAGTGTCTCTGCCAGTTATGTCAGTTAACAGTTTCCCATTCCAATGGAAGATATAATTATTATCTAGTTTAATTTTTTCTTTCAAGCCAATTACCATTTCCTTTCGTAAAGTCTTACGTTTTCGATGAATAGTATTAAAACTTACAATCACAGTTTTAATATCAAATCTAGCACTTTTTAACGTCACCGATATTATGTACATGGCATGCCTGCTATTCACATTACCTCGATCAAATGCCGCTTCTAGTACTAGATCAGGTGACATAATTTCCAGTTTTCGAGGCTGTTTTTGTAATGAAAAATCCATTTGATAACACAGGTCCACAAAAAAAGTGGTCAGTACTGGATGTGTGACATATATTTTCCGACGTATTTTTTATTGCTGAACACGAATCTGAAATCAAAATTAGGGGTCAATCTGCAAAAAACGGAGAAAAATAAAAAAAACCGATAAAATGTCCGATCTAATCATTTTTCCTGCATGATAATTCAACGGTTTGTTTGTAATGTGGTTGAAATTTCATTGTTTGAATTGTTATCAGGTTGTACTGTCGTCGGTTGAACTGTCGTCGGATGAACGGTCCTTCGGTTCAAAAGTCGTCGGATGAAATCCCGAGTCGAAATATCAGACCCGTTTAAGCTGTAAAGGTTTCCAAATCGTTTGTAGTTCAATTCGCCGCCTTAGAAGACGCCTGTTTTAGCAGTAAAAGTCGGAGTGAACTATGGATACAGTGAAAACGGGTCCACTGAGTTCCATTTTCAATGTAAATTGTATCCAAAGAATAATAATAATAATGCAGAGTCGAAACATTAGACCCGTTTTAGCTGTAAAAGTCGGAGTGAACGAAGGACATAGTGGAAACAGCTCCACTGAGTTTCGTTTTCAATGTAAATTTTATCCAAAGGATAATAAATAATAATAATAATAATAATAATAATAATAATAATAATAATAATAATAACACACACACACGCACACACGCACACACACACACACACACACACACACACACACACACACACACACACACACACACACACACACACACACACACACACACATACAGACATAGTGATAACTTCGCGGGGATAGTCAGGGAAGCTTCCTGTGACCTTCAAACGTCGAGATCTGATGAAAACTCGATTTTTGTAAAACGAGATAAAAACAATAACTTCCCGATTTAGCGGGAAGTTAAAAATTGTGGTTTATCTAACTTTAATAAGATTTTTGAGCTCGAAGAAAAGCATAGAAAAGCTATCTTTTTAAGCTCGGAGAGCTCAAAATAATTCATGAATTGTATTATTGAGCTCAAATAGCTCAAAACGTTATAAGTGCAATTTTAAGCGCCTAGGTATGGCATTAGCGGGAAGTTGCAGGGATGGCCTTCAAGGTCAACCGTTTTCCTAATTTATTTAAAATTGGTTAACCCGGTAACTTCCCGCTAATTCTATAAATAAGCTCGTAAAATTGCACTTATGACGTTTCCGAGCTCTTCGAGCTCAAAAATAGAATTTATATGTTATTTTGAGCTCTTTGAGCTTATAGAGTAAGCTATTGTAAGCTTTTGAGCTTTTTGAGTCTGATAGAAGTTTAATAAAACAGTATTTTTTAAATTTTTAAACTGCAATAATTTTTGAATGAATGAATTGATTTTCACGTGGTTGGCAGTAATTCACGCAGATTTTCAGAATGTATGATATACTTTTGAACACAAACTGATCGAACCGAAAATCTTAGAGAAATTTGAAAAATTTACTTGTTCCGAATTTTTTCGACAACGATAATTCACGAACCAATCAACCGATTATGAACAGACATAGAGAGGTCTGATCAGGTCTGAGCGTATTTAACGCTTCAGACATGAACAGGCTTGATCAGGTCTGAGCGTATTTAATGCTTCAGACAAGAACAGACATGAGCAGGCATCAACAGGCTTGATCAGGTCTGAGCGTATTTAACGGTTCAGACAGGAGCAGGCATGAACAGGTTTGATCAGGTCTGATCAGTTCTGAGCGTATTTAACGGTTCAGACATGGTCAAGCATGAACAGGCATGGACAGGTCTGATCAGGCCTGATCAGACATGAACAGGCTTAATCAGGTCGGATCTCAGGCTTGATCAGATATGATTAGGTCTTATCAGTCCTGATTATTAACAATCCCGTAGAGTACTAGAAAAAATTTCCCCCGCCATGGTCACTTCGATTACTCAAAAACGGATCATCTGAAAATACAAACTCAAATTGCTTCTCAATTAGTAAAGATGTAGTTATCGTTGCACATAGGGAATTTTTAAATTTTTATTTTCAAAAAAATGGCGAGTGGTGAAAATTTTCTTACTGTTCCTAATACTTTTTTTTTGTTTGAACCCGTCTACAAAAATATTTAAGATCGAAATTTTTTCAATTTCGTACGTGCAACGATAACTACATCCTTAGTGATTAAAAAGCGATTTTTGTTTTCATTTTAAGATGATCCGTTTTTGAGTTATCGATCCGACCATGAGGAGGGAAATTTTTTCTAATACTCTACGAGATTGGCAATAACTTTGTAATAATTAAATATTTTTTAATCAAAATTTAGGGTAATAATCTTTAATGTACTCTTAATGAAATAAAAAAATACGATCCCCAAATTCTTTTATTTTCCCTGTCAAAAAAATTCCCGAAAATGACTTTTTTTTCGATCGTCACAGTGGTGTTCTCCCTTCAACGCAAAGAGAAAAATATTTTTGTATGGCTTTTTTCATATTTCTATTAATAAGTCTTCAAATTTTTAAAAGAACAAAAATTTTAAGATCTAAAAAGTGTGAAAAAACGAAGTCTCATAATTTTTAACAAATTTTGTGGTGATTAAAAAAAAAACTTTTGAAAATATTACGTGTGTACGTTTTACCCATAGAAAAAATACATAAGATTGACAGAAATACTGGAAAAACGAAAAAAAAGAACTTGAAAAATTACAGTTTCAAGTATGAAGTAGTCCCCCTAAAAAAATGCAAGTATAACAGTGTGAAATATAATACTTGTAGTATTTTCTTAGAGAAATCTGCTTTACATTCGAAAGTATATTTTTCCAGTCCTCTTTTTTCTGTTTACGGTAAAAAGTGTAGTATTTGCAGTTTTTTGTTAGAGAGACCTGCTTTAAAATCGAAAATGTTATTTTTCCAGTACTATTTTTCCCGTGTCAGAATTTTCTCATATAACTCCGACACATTTTGGGACATTATATTTTGTCAAGGTATTGGAGTCTATAAGATTACTTTACGGTAAGCATTTTTGAATTTAAATAATGCTGTCGATCGGGAAAGGATAGGAGTTACGGTAATTATTACGTGAAGCGTTCCACATTTACGTAACAGGATAATTGGTAAGAAGAGATTGAGAAAGTAATTGGAAAGGACCTTCTTAATGTGAGTTTATAGAATATGCGAGAAAAAATTCGAATAGCTCGGACTGGGGTTCAAACCCAGAACCTTCCAAAGATATGTCAACTGCTCTACCATTTGAACTACCCGGTTTATACCAAATTTCCTTTCCACTTATATTCTATATATAAAGCTACACTGTCCATTAGGTTGGTCGTTAAAAATTGAATTTTTTGCGGCGCCCCCTAAAAAGCTTTTTTTTAATGAAAAAACACTGGGAAAATTTTTTTTTTCTTAAATTCAAAAAAACACGTGCCTCTACACGATCTAAATTAATTTTTGTGTATAATCATCTTTTTGGAGAATTTTTCAGGAAAAATACAATTTTATTCGAAATATAAACATTATAGAACTCAAATCAATAAAAAAAATAACAATATTTGATCAAAATAACAATCAACAAAAATCCAAATTCAAACATTTTCATAGTTGATTTTGGTTTATTAAGGGGAACGGGTGGTCTAGCGGTCTGAAATTTAACCTATTGTCAAAATTTTATTTCTATATGAAGGTAATGACTAGGGCCAGGAAGTTGGCGTTTTTTCTTTGTTCAAATTTGAGGTTAAACACATGAGTGTTCATTTAAACAACTGCGAAATTCCTGGCCCTAGTAATGACTAATCCTTCCAAATTTTTTTACACTTATTCAATTGCTTATCAACTACACAAAAATAAAAATTAAGACAAAAAAAAATTTTTTTTTTAATTAAAAAAACGGTGCTGAAGTTCGCCTCTCCAAAAAAAATGGACCTGACTGGCGGGGGTCGATTGATCTTTACTTCTGATCTGAAATAAAAAAAAATGACGGATTTTCAATTAGTATAAGTATAGTTATCGCAGGAACTAGAATGGAAAGAAAAAATATTTAAAAAAATGGCGCGTAGTTAAAGTATTTTCTGAAAACGAGTTTCAGATTTATACTTTCAACTACGTGCAATTTTTTCGAATATTTTTTTTTTTTCATTTTAGTTCCTGCGGTCACTATACTTACACTAATTTAAAATCCGTCATTTTTTTTAATTTCAGATCAGCAGGAAAGATCGATCGACCCCCGCCAGTCAGGTCTATTTTTTTTGAAGAGGGGAACTTTAGCGCCATTTTTATAATTTGAAAAAAAATTTTTTGTCTTAATTTTTATTTTTGTGTAGTTGATAAGCAATAGAATGAGTGTAAAAAATATTTTAAAGGATTAGTCATTAGTCATGACCTTCATATAGAAATAAAATTTTGATAATAGGTTAAATTTCAGACCGCTAGACCACCCGTTCCCCTTAATAGACCAAAATCAACTACGAAAATTTTTGAATTTGGATTTTTGTTGATTGTTATTTTGATCAAATATTGTTATTTTTTTATTGATTTGAGTTCTATAATTTTTTATATTTCGAATAAAATTGTATTTTTCCTGAAAAATTCCCCAAAAAGATGAATGTACACAAAAATTAACTTATATCGTGTAGAGGCACATGTTGTTTTGAATTAAAAAAAAAAAAAAAATTTTCCCATTGTTTTTTCATTAAAAAGAAGCTTTTCAGGGGGCGCCGCAAAAAATTCAATTTCTAACGACCACCTTACTGTCCATAGACTAGTAACTGTTTTTAGAATATAATTTCCTGATAAAAAATCAGAGCATATTAAACACGTTTTAGATCGTCTGATTTGATGTAAAGATGTTAATATCAATTATAATTTATAATCGGGTCAAAAACTTATGATAAAATAAATTATAGTTGCCTATTTAGACATTTTAATAGCGTTCATCAACATTAAAGACACTTACGAATTCAAAGTAGGTAGTAAGAGACTTTCAATAGCAAATTTATTTTTGTAATTTTTTTTTTAATAATAATTTCATGATGACAAAACAGAATTTTTTTTTT